TGACCATTGTTTGCAAGGAAAGCATCGCAGGCAAAATTCTAAATTTGCTTATTCTTTACATATCTTGTAAAAATACGTGTAAGTGAACATTTGCCGAAACTTTGTTGTGGCAAAGATACACGTTTACGCCTTATCTGTTCCATGTACAAACGCAATCAAATATTTCATTTTTGAACAGTTTTGCTCATTAATGCAGAAATAAACGTTAACACATATTTGCTCAACGGGGTGGAATCAGAGAGAAATAAGAAACGAAACAAAATGCAAGTATGTCCAGCACTATGCAAATATTTACTACATTATAAAATAAAAATTAGATCCAAGTCATATTGTTACATGGTAAACAGCTTTCACTTGTAACAATTTGAAAAAGTACTAAAGTGTGTAAATAGTAACTAATCGCGTATAGAATCGTAAATAGTAACGAATAGCATGTAAATAGTAACTGAAAACTTCTATGTCGACATAGATACTCTAATTAATAAGATGGAAGATTAATTACTGATTGTAATTATGTTTAGTCTGTAGTTTTCCTATTTACATATTATCCTAATACCTAGATGTTTGTAAGCATGAAGATTAATGTCTACATGTTGTAATTGTATGTGAATATTTATTGTATAAAATTGTGTAAAATTATTTGTCTACAGTCTGGCTTGCCACGATTAGCTCTTCACTATTTGCAAGCCAGCCTAGTAATAACCACCTGATGTGAACAAATAAAACTTGAAACTTAAACTTGAAACGAATCAAGAATGCCTACACCTACATATAATGCTTTTGATTTGTTAATTGGTCTGTCTCTGATCACCTTGGAATTAATAAATATTATAAATATCTTGAAATACAAGTCAAATATTGGCACATTGTAAACAGCTTATTAAGAATGCCTGAAACACCTAATGCTCTTGATTTGTCAACAGGTCATCACCAAGGAATCAATAAATATTATAAATATCTTCAAATACTATTCAAATATTGTTACATGGTAAAAATTAAGCTACACAATTTGAAACAGTAAGCCTACATTAAAACATTAAATGCTTTCAATTTGTTAACTGATCTTCAAAAATTTTGTACTAGATATGATAAGTCATGGCATGGCTGATGTAATTCTCCCATTTTGCAATTCATGAGTCAGTTCAATGTAAATTTGAAAAATTAAGGACAGTAGAACAGCTTCACTTAGGTTTTAGATGAAGCTGTCACACATAACAAGAAATGACAGCATTCAATCAATTAGACATACATGTAGCTTTTAGGAAAATGCTTGAAGACTTAGTTGTTACCACATAGAAACAGCACCCTTCATTGAACTGAATTTTCATTTCAAAACCTGAGTTCCTGTACATGTATTTCAGTACAGGGATAAAACAATTATTTGTACATGTATATTGCTTGATCATGAATTGCAAAAGCCTTCCATATCAAGGCCAAATAATTAACATTTCATTCCCCTTTCTCCAAAATTACTTCCTTTTAAGTTAATTTTGTTTCCTTAGCCAAAAATGCAGAAAGAATACCAATGAATAAGGAGGTGATTTACATGAGAAATTTCAGCCTGATTAGGGGGCTGGAATTTTGTTGTGATTACATGACCAAATGTAAATCTTTTCTCCTTTGCAACTGCCAGCTTCAGTGATTTCGTTACATTGAAAAAAACAATCACTACATATGTCCAAGGTCCCATTTCAGCCTGGGCCGAAATTCCATTCCAATTACATGGGCTTTTTGGAGCTTTTTCATCCTCGCATCCTGGGCTGAAATCTCAGCCCCTTCTAACTAAGCTGAAAGTCGCCATGTAATCACCCCCTTAGAAATAAGGTTGCATTTACAAAAGGAGGGCAGAAAGTACCAATTATGCCAGTGCAAAGGGATCAGCATCATTAGGAGCAAGGCGGCTCGAGATTATGCCTGTACGACGCCTTTCCACTAACATATTAGCACCTTTTGCACTCCTTCTGCGTGTTGACTTTCGGTCAAGACTGTGCATGACCTGAGTTAGTGCAGGACTCCGCCACTGAAGTGAGCTTACACAAAAACTTTCTTCTTTGGCCTCTCTGAGTCTGAGCTTTCATAGCCATGCTCACTGTTCGACTCGTCCTCCTAAGATTCTGACATAGAATGTTCCGATGACATATAGTCTATGGTCATGAACTTCATGTACTGATCTTTGTTTTCTGCAGCCAAAGATGTAGAAAGGTTGAGAGCTTTCACTCTCTGGTTCTTTTTCTGTATTAAAATAAATTAAACAAAATTGTTCACAATTACACTAAATATGAAAGTCACAAATAGACAAGGTTTGGGTTGAAATTAGCTTATTGATTCTACCCAGCAGAGCTCTTACAGATACTGGGTCTTGTTTAAAGCATTGCTATGGTGTTCAACAGCAGAAAAACTCTCTGACAGAAAAAACAATATCAATAACACCAGAAACTGCATGGTGCATCCTTATTGTGTAAAGTTTCAGTGTTAATAGCACACACATTAAAAATGGTCTTTTACTTTATGTACCAAAGGCAAGTCATCATTTGTCTCTTAAATGAGTATGGTTACCTATCATTGTTTGTTCTCTTGTTTTTAATTGCACAATAACTTTCTTTGTGTGAAATAAATGTACCATGTGGCACTTAACTCTTTTGCTTGTTTTTCGTGATCCCAAAAAGTTCCCTGAAAAATTTTCTCTGCAAAATTTTACACCACAATGAAGTGTATATACCAAATCACTTTCTCATAATAATTATGCAATATCTTGTTACCGTCATTTCTTTCCCCACGCAACCTGAAGTTGAAACAAAAATTCAGAAAAATTGTGCAACCCCCCTCCCCCTAAAAATATAATGATCCGCCCCTAACCTAACTTATTTACAATTAGTGAAATAAACGCATACAGTGTATACATACCTTTTTGAAAAGTCCCGCTGGATCTCCCTGCCATCATCTCGCCAACAAGGCTTTGGTAAACTTCCCTAACATTGGCCTGTGGAATCAAAAATATATGTAAAAAATATATATATATATCATATGAAACCACCAACTGGGCATAACATTAAAGCTGGTTAAAAGGATGTTATAAGAACTAGAATAAACTAGGGTTTTTCGCATTTCTGATCGAGTAGCTAGCAGTTAGATCATTTTAAAACAACTATTTAGTCCCGGAACTTGTAAACAATGTGCTTAAAAGATACATTAATGCATACCGTAAGCGCCATGGGCAGGCGCCTTCTTTTCCCACCCATTTTGGCTTTGCTCTTCGAAAGGTCTTCGAGAAGGATGGTAAGAGAACTAGAATAAGCTTGGGTTTTCCGCGCTTCTGATCGCGTAGCTAGCAGTAAGATCATTTTAAAACAACTATTTAGTCCCGGAACTTGTAAACAATAAGCTTAAAAATACACTAATTCTTACCGTAAGTGCCTTAGGCAGGCGCCTAGACGCCTTCTTTTCCCGCCCATTTTGGCTTTGTGCTTCGAAAGCCACAATCCTCTGTTCGAGGCATTCATTAAATAGTTCTTGTCTTGCCATGAACGTATTTAACTGCTGCAGAACTACTGCCGGTAAACTTTCACCCGCTCCTTCATTTGGCCTTTCACTGCCATTGGCTAACTGCAACAACGGCACGAGAACACGATTAATTCTCGTGCTATCGTTTTCCCCTCTAGATTTCGTAGGCACTATCGGCGTACTTGAGCTACGAGTCCTCGTTCGAGCTATCACTGAAAGAGGGAGTGGTGTCCAAATTCGTTGACAATCTGGTGTTCCTCACTGTGACTGTCGTTGTGTTTACGCTATAAAATGATGGCCGCGTTTGGGATTGCTTAGCCCGAGGCGTACTTATCATAGATGCAGACAATCTTGTTGGGTTACCATTTACATCCCTCAAGTTATACATTTCGTTTACTCTTCGTCTACTCGCTTGGTTTGGGGTTTTTCTAGCCATATCTAAGAATCAACCAAGAGAAAAACGCGTGTTTTTTCTCCTGCGTAAAATATTCCGCAACCGAAGTGAAAAACGGCAGGAAAGTGGCGCTCAAAATTTGAATGCGTAATTCAATACGTATCGCTCAACAGAAATTGACAATCATTCGCTGAAATGCATGACGTAACACTGACGTTGTTAACCGAATTAACCAATGTTAGCAGAAAATTCGGGAGAACCTGGTTGCGTGGTAATCCTTACGACAAGGCTGCCATTTAAAGTAGGATGTTGCTCTTACTCTTTGCAAGATTTCTTGTTGCACGCGTTATTAGAAATTTCTTGCACATCACTTCAAAGTCAGTGAAAAGTCAGGGAATTTTACCTTCAGGTTGCCGCATGAGTTTTATTAAGATTTTTTGCATCGAAAAGGCAATTTTGTTTCAAAATTACATGTAAAGCATCTTTATTTTTGTTGATTCACGGCCACAATACTCATCCCGCGGGGTCAGAGAAAATCGCTTTCCAGTTAGTGAAAAGTCGGTATTTCTCTTTATTCCGGTGGGTGTCGACCCTTTGCGAGGTTTTGAGTAGTTTTGTGAACGAACCACAGTTTGTAATCGATAATATATGATTTGTTAATGTTTTGGATTGAAACGGTAATGAGATAATTTCAAAAAAGGAGGTATAAATATGAGAATAACGGTTGTAAATTCATCGAAGGTGACCATATTTGCATAGATGGCAAACGTTAGATTACAAGCGTAAATTTGTTGGTTTGATTGTAATACAAATTTAGTGTATATGAGCATATTTGCTCCTGTAGCAAAACATGACTAAAACACGTGCAAATGTTTTTGTTTGAAGCCTCGACTACATTTGTGAAACAATGATGCAAACAAATGGATTTACACCATATTTGCCTACCTTTTTTTGCTGTAAGCAAACTTAATACTTTGCAAATAGAGCAAATCTGTATAAATGTAAGTCAAATTTGTTGATTTGCGGAGGTATCAAAAACAAAGCAAAGGTAAAGTAGATATCATATTTACTTCACAAAGGCCTAAATTTGCATCATGTTTACTTCATGAATGAAAGTGATCTTCGCAGTGATGTGCACTACTTCGGCAGTAGTGAATTCCCGTACAGGCCTGAATGAACGGGTCTTACTTTCTCACTTCTTTATTTCCACCGAGTACAAGTCCACAGTTAGAAGCTTTCTTTGTGTTTGCGCACGGGGTGTCAGGCGAGTCATATAACGTTATATGTTTTCCTACTTTTGAGAGTGCAGGCCTAAAGGTTATGACGCCACTAATTTTTATTTTCATTACAGACAATAACGTTGATACTCTCAGTGAGTTATATCCTCAGATGTTTAATTCATAGATTGCCCCAAAAACACTATTATCAAGATGATTCCTCAACTGACGGTGTGTACTGGGTTCACCCTGATGAAGAAGAACCATTTCAAGTGCTGTGTGACATGAAAACTGATGTTGGAGGATGGACCACCTTTCAAAGGCGCATGGATGGCTCTGTAGGCTTTTATGTCGACTGGGATTCATACAAAAAGGCTTTTTGTACTTTTGGAACAGAATTTCAGATCAGCTTTTTAGTGTCACTATTACTGGACTCGACAAAACGAGTTCTTTTTCTTCCATGTAAAGTGATAAAGATGAAAAAGTGAAATTCTTGACATAATTTTTTCCGCTGGCTTTGTTTCTTTCCGATGGAAATAATTGGGGGACAAATGCAGACGTAGACGGGGGTTATTGTGTGATAACTGTCCGGTGAGTTTACAACACATGACTAACTATAAAGTAGCTAATTTAATTGCGCAGAAAATGGAAAGGTGGGTTATAGAAGTCGGTAACTTTATACTCTCAAAGGATTACACCTTTGGGTTTCTATTCTAAAGATTGTCCTAGGAACTGTCTTGACCATTATCAAAATGGCTCCACTTCCGACGGAGTGTATTTGATTTACCCTGATGAAGAACAACCCTTCCAAGTACTGTGTGACATGACAACTAATGGTGGAGGATGGACCACCTTTCAAAGACGCATGGATGGCTCTGTAGACTTTTTATGTCGACTGGGAATCTTACAAAAAAGGCTTTGGAAATCTGGAGGGCGAGTTTTGGCTTGGAAATGACTACCTTCACCGTCTCACTGCATCTGCCAACATGGTGTTTCGAATTGATATGGAGGATTACGAAGGCGACCGAAGATTTACACGACCGAGTACACGACCTTCTTTGTGGCCGACGAAAGCAATGATTACCGGGTAACGATCGATACATACCGAGGCACCGCAGGCGATGCATTACTATCTCTCAGTAGGCCTATCAGGTTTGTTTCAGGCATTTCAGTTTTTCGTATAATGCTTAGCGAATAGTAATATAAAGTTAACCCTGAGAGCTCTGCGCAAAAACCGAGAAAATTATTCATTACCCGTTGAAGATGAAGATCTCTACACTTATTCAAGTTAAACATCTCTTTCTGAGAATGTACTGCTACAGGCAACATTGCTGATCAAAAGATCCAACTTATATCTGACGCATATTGCTGACAATTATAGCTCCTTTTGAATTGGTGCTAGTACATTCCTCTACGCTACATTATTAACCATAAAATGTATTTTGTTGATTCCTAACGTTACCATTTGTCTTTCACTTGCCTGATGGGGGAATATTATTTTTCTACACTTGCTGACAATGCAGTCTTATTGCTGACCATACAATATTATCAGTAGCATTGTTGTTCAGCTCTTCCTTAGTTTCTTAAAAAATTCTTTTTTCATATCAGAAATATGAAGTTTACAACCAAGGACAGAGACAACGACGTTGATAACAGTAAGAATTGTGCCTTGCACTATAAAGGCGCCTGGTGGTACAGCTATTGCCATAACGCAAATCCAAATGGTTTGTACCAAGGTGGAGGCAACGCACAAGGAATTACATGGGAACCATTTCGGGGACAAGATTATTCGTTAAAGCACATCGAGATCAAACTTCGACCAGCATGATTTGTATCTTAGAAGCTGCGTGTTTAAGCCTTCAGCAGACTATAATAAAAATACAGTGTAATAACATCAACAATGATAATGATGATAAGAATTACTATAGTAATTTTAATAATTATAATAATTATAACAATTATAGTAATTATAATAATTCTAAAAAATTCATTATAATAAAAATGCACATCAAGATGTTCCATTGCAAATAAATAGAAGGTCTGAAAATTAGAAAAAATATGAGAAAACGAAGACTTCATATTAATGACGAAATCATAGTTAAAAGTGAATTTATTAAAACAGCTTTGGTCCTAAACAGGATCTGCTTCTGAGGTGAACGTATCTTTTTATTATCTTTATTATTATTCTTATTAATATTTCTTTTTAAATAAAGCGCACAGATGATTCTTTCACAACTGCGATAGAAAAAATTAAGTAAATAATCCTCATGTTTTAATCAACTAAGATTAATCTTAAGGTTCGTGAATAACATAACCAACTGATATGTAGTTTTTATGACAAAATCGTTTTTATAAACTTTGCAAGGTTTGATAAGGTCACAAATACTAGTTGCATCAACTGAAAGGCCAAGAAACATTTTTGAAAGCACAATCGCACGAAAAGATTACCTATTTACTTTTAAGGGACTCTTCTTTGCACAGGCTTTTGACTATAATCAAAATATTTTGGCCTCATAGAACTTCACCTTGATATGTAAACTAAACTTGCAATTAATTTCTATGGTAACTCCCTATAAACGGAGGCTGCCATACTGCTTGATATTATATTATATGAAGAAAGGTGCTGGTACTTGATTTACCTCGATTTCTTATGTAGGAATAGGGATCAATTCCTTGCAGTTACTGTTGTTGCAGAGCAAGTCGTTTGCATCACTCCAGTCCAATATAGACAAAGAAATGTCAGACATATCTAGTGAAAATCTTCACCTATCAAGAGATAGATATATCTTCCATGTGATTAATAAGTTTGTAACAGTTATAATAAAGCTTCTAGGTTAATAACAATTCCCTTATACTTTTCCCATCAAACCCTTGCTGTTATTTGATAGAATTATATCGATCTAGCTTGTTTTGTTGCCAATTTCTAGCAGTTGTTTTGTCTCATTTTTCGTCCGAGCACGTTCCAGCATTTTGCTGCTCTAAGGTTCATTGTCATTAAGCACGACTAGCGGAGGGCTGTAATATCTGAACAAATCGTTGGATTGGACGTGTCTACGGACAGTTTCGTCTTAATTTTATGACCCAAACTGTTCTGTTTGCTTGCTTCTGAGAAAAGTTTATTAGCTTTCCGTCTAAATCTTTCTGATTGGCGGGTAAAACAGTTTGTTCGCCCCCGATAATTGTTTGATCGAAAGCCAAGAAAACACCCAAACAATGCTGACATTACACCTACTCATTGATGGTTTTAAGAACGGTCGCGTGATAATTCAACGGCGTACTCTATTTTCATTCTGGCGCTTTCCTTGTACCTGTTAGCCTAGTTTGGCAAAAAAAAAAATTAAACATTCAATCACTTTTCCTCGTCATAAACTTTCTGAAGGTGAAGAAAAACATGCATCTTAGCATAATATTTCTTTTTTGTGTGTGTGTACGGCATAAGCCGTATTTCAGAAGCAGACCTCAAAGCTGTTAACCTCACTTAAAAGGTAACAGGGCAAAAACTGAATAGAAGAATGATAAAAAAAATGGATTCGGAAAGTTCCTCTCAGTTTGAGTGTGTGGATGGAGAGCGATGTCAATCTTACAACTTTGGAACCGTTAATGGCTACCAAGAGATATTCAAATGCAAACTATGCGACTCTGATCGATTTGCTGGATTTGCTAACTTAACAGATGATAAAAATCTCATTCACAGAGGAATGATGGTAAGCTAAATCTGTCTTAGTGCATCAAAAGTTACTTGTGGCTCAAAGTTTAAATCATATTATCTAAAATTGTAGCTGGATCTCTTAAAATGTTTTCTAACTGTGATAGATCAACCTTACTCTACCTAACATAAATTATGTCGGTAAAGTTAATAAGAATCTAAAGGACTCTCTAAGGATTCTGCGACAATCTGGAGAGAAAGTTGCTGATGTTTGCCATAAGGAAAAAAGCCCGGAAGAGCGCTAATAAACAACAACTATAACAAATTCAAAACAGGTAGGCCACAGGAAAGAAAAATTTAAAACCACTTTAAGGACATCATTTTTGCAATGAAAAGTTAGTAATCAGGAAAGTAAACCATGCTCCCTTTATGACATATATCCTGATATAAAAATTCCGGCGTTATCCTATTCGTACATCAGTCGATGTATAGTTTTGAATGAGAATTTAAGTTCCTGCATATAGCATAGATATTGTACTTGAAATTAAGATATATGGCGGTTGTATTTTTCCCCTATAATTTCAATTAAATGAATAAGTATTTCAGGGTATTGTCAAAGTCAAGCAACATTTTCACCTAACCAAATGTTGTGTGCATAAATTCCTTTTTATGAACCTGTTTTCATCACAATTTTTTTTTATTTTAAGACGAAGAAGGCAAAATCGTTGGAAAACGTACAACGAGTGTCGCTGGCACTGCTCACAATGCTTCTCGAGAGGCCTTGGAATGGTGTAATGGTAAAGTTTGGCTATCAGTGGTGATTGGTTTGGTCGCTTCTGAGGTCACAGTATCCATATTTTAAAATCAGGTGAGTTTGAGATAAAGTGAATAAATAACTTGATAAAAAATGATAATAATCGTAAAATGATAATGTGACCTTGAAAAGAAAAAATAGAAGCGCTAGCTTTTCCCTTCATAGCGACATCATTTTATTTCGGTCAAATTTTAATGTAATATCAGGTGGCTTGTAAATGTTTCTTTTCAAGCTAGAATTGGAATCTCGATTCCAGAGATAATACACGCGCATGCTATAAACACAAAACAAATAGAGGATCTTTTCTTTCTTCATTCCTTTTCCTATTCCTTTGAGCGTTGCTATATAGAAGCGGTCAACAGCGTTCGCGGGTCTTGATTACTTTACCGAGGATTAGGGTCTAACTTGTCTTTTATTCAAAAACGATCTTGATCACACGGGGTCTCATCCTGAACTGAAACGCTAACTATAATTTTCTCTCTAAAAAGAATTAGTCACGGAGGCGACAACCTAGCCAGGAAATATTTCGCGGCTTCTCTTGGAAATGGTAACATTTAGCTTAAGCGGAAGCGGTTACATCGCTCTTCATGCATTCAGGTAATATAAAAGACGTGGTGGCTGACTTTACTGGATCGATCCAAACGGTGGTTCAACAGATGACTCTTTTCAGGCTTTTTTCGACATGCAGATTGATAGTGGAGGCTGGACACTATTTTCTACGAAAGTGTCTTCGTCAAAGTAGCGTTCCGGGAATAGCAGCAAAAACAACAGACGCAGATGCAGCAAGTCACATTCACCCTGACATGGGGGACTGGGAAGAAGTTATGTTCCGGTTAAGTGACGTCAATACCATTCGGGTTAATAAAAACAGGAAGGCAGGTGCTCCAAATAAGGACAAAACAGACTTTGACAAGTTCTTGATGGGAACAACATACAATATAATGCGACGTAATGCAGTCCAATGTTTTTACAAGTACACACGGTAGATCGCAAGGAGAGGAATCCCCCTTCTGGTTTGTCACATTATCAAATTTCCACTTCGATTCAAACGGAGGGATATCTGAATTCCATTTTGACACGGACAAGTGGCTTAAAATGTGGAATAGTGCTAACAGCCCAAACAGCTACGTCGCTTCCGACGGGTTACGGGTCGCGGGTTACTGTTATTTAAACATTTGCATCTGGGTGATGGTACGATACAGGCAAACTGAAGTTGAAAACTGAGATTTTTTTATTAGGATTTTACTCTCACTATTGGAATAAAAATAAAAATAACAAGAGGGATCATTACCACCTTGGCTGTTGAAAACTGTGTTTGATTGGTACACTGATATATTTGCAGATAAAGCAAGTGTATCCATGCGATGTCTCAAATCAACTAAAGCAATAAAAACAAGCATGCAAAAAAACAAATGAAACTGTTCACGTAGAATAAAAGAGAACCAGTGAAAAGGATATCCCTTTGGCGGTCAAACAGATCCGGAAAAACTAATAAATGCCTAAGAATATCACATGAGAAATTATAATCATCTCCTCAGCTCTGTGTTAGTAAAGCTAGAGTTAGTAGGCAAAAAATACGTTCAACTTGAACAGCAGTAAAGTTTTGTGACTTCACTTAGAACTTCAGTGAAAAAAAAAACAAAAAATAAAAAGGAAAGTAATTTGAAAAAGTTATGCAAAAGTTCCCGATTGCTTTTATAAAGCATTCAAGTTCTTTCCGTAACATGAGAAATGAAGGAACATAGCGTTTATTTACTTCTTGATTAATATAGATTTTCTTAATACATGATCTGAAAGATAGCTTTTCCTAATAGCCAATCAGGCGTTGATATTTTCAGTCTTTTCATAAAAACTTTTCATTTGATTTTAGGATAATAATCTGAAAAAGCTGTATGCAGCCGGCTTTCTTTATATGACTTCATCCCTGTTTTAAGGCATTCGATCTGAATCGAAGTGAGGGAACAGCGAAAATATATTTCAGGTATTTACTCCTTTTTGTCACTAAAAAGGTCGATACAAGAAAAGATAAGATTAGACGTCAGTGAAATTTGACAGAAAAAGAACCCAGTGAAGGGCAGATCTTTCGACTCTAAAGGAAGAAACTGGTATTTTTGCAATAATTACATAAGCGTTCTTCAAGAGCCGATGAAAAATTCATAATTACTCAGGTCTGCCATCAAACACTGCGCAGCCTTAAAAAGGGAATTAAGAATAGAAATTTTTTCACTGATTCCTGATATTTTCCGTATTACTTGTTAATATTTATTTAGACATTCTCCGCTGCGATTATAACAATAACAACATTTTCATGTTTTTATATCCGGTGAACTGTTTACAGCGACACGTTGTCTCTGGCTCCTACTCAGAA